AATTTTTTTTAAACTTTATTATGACCGATTCACCAGATTCTCGATCCGGATCGCCGATTCGCTATCCGGATAGCCGATTCGTCGATACGGATCGGTTTTTTGGAAGCCCGATCTTGGTCACCGATCCGTTTTTTAAACCATTGGTTTCTATACTTCCCCTATTGCATAAAAGATATATATTCCCTTCCCTTTCCCCCACCTAGCCATCCAATTTAGATCAAGTGAGCCACTGACGATTAATCTAGATCCAACACCTCCGAATATTTTATTTTGAGTTTTTTCTGCAATTTATATAAAAATGGAATTTGGTAGGTGTATCATCTCAATGGGGAGTACATAAAAAAAAATTAAAAATATTTTTTTAATAAAATATAATAACAAAAATACCCCTTAAAACTTTTAGGGGTATTTTGGTTATTTTATTTTATTGAGAATATTTTATTAGATTTTTTACATGTACAAGTTTAAGAGAGGAGTGGACGATCAAATTTTGGTGTAAAATTATTTTATAAAATAATAAAAATAAAAATAAAATAATGTAGAGACATGACATCATAATTGGGGCCATCTCAAAAAGCCTGCCCTATTTTAAATGTTCACAAATCTTACATAAATTTTAGAACATCAAATTTTTGTACTCCAATGATATAACAAAGAGAAATGATCCTATAGGACCCTCCTCCACTCATGTGTATAGGACCCCAAAAGATCACCATTAAATTTGGTACGAATTTATAGAAAAGTCAAGTCCTACACCCATATGATAACTTTTTTAGAGATCTGTATTAACTTTAATTGTGATCTTTTGGAGTCCTATGCACATAGGTGGAGGAGGGTCCCATAAGATCATTACTCTATAACAAATGCAAAAGTCATAAAGTTTCCAAATGCTAGAACTGTATTTTCTAGCAGAATTTTGTGATGGGATTTCGCCAAATATCATAGAACCATGCCCTTAAGAATATGAAGCCCCGACAAATTAGTTGACTAAGAAAAGGGAACACAACAAAATGCACGGTCTAGGAAATGTATATAATATGACTATTTGCTTTTTGGTACAAAGATACACAAAAATGTATATGATGTGGCTATTTCCGTTTGGTACAAGGATATTTCAATTATTATTGACTATTTGATGTAAATAAGGTAGTTGGGGTGTCATTGACTAGGAGTAAAATAAAATTTTTTAAATATTGTGATATACTTCAATATGTTGCATTTCACATCTAATGGCTAAAAATGATTATTCGTTATCCTAAAGTAAATGGGCCTATAATACAGAAAACCTTTAATAAATTATACGACTGATGCAAACTATAAAGCACAATTATGCCAGTGAAAGATATGCTGCCAAAATTATGAATTGGTGCTGCCAAAAGATACGCTGCTCCCGCGAAAGCATACAGTCCATTTGCTCCCTCGAGTAAAACCTAAGTTAGGATTATCATTTGAACCTTAAATTTTGGGAATGTAATCATGAAAACCTAGGGACGAACCTAAAGAAAAGAAATTTCCAAATCTGACACTCTATGTGCTTGAAAAAATTATCATCCCAAAATTAAACAAGGGCCATCCAATTTTTGGAAGACATGATCTTAGTGTTGAAGAACTCAAATTTTATTTAAATTTTTTAAAATAATAATCCAGTAATGTTTAGGTGGATCTCAAAATTTCATATCAAAAAAGTTCTCCCATGTAGCTCTTTTATCCAAGGGAGTTAATATACAATATACTCCTAATATACTCCTGTAGGAGCATTCTATACACACTCATTGTTGTTAATCCAGTGGACGCAAAAATTTGTTGAGGATAAGATGTAGAAGCCTGGCAATGAAATCTGGTGATAAAAAAGACCTGGTGCGCAATCCATCTAAAGCTTCAACGTTACTTTATAAGGATGATTACTATGATACATGTAGCATACTGCTATATGATCTTCGAGACAGATGTAACCGTTAAAATAGCGAAAAAATGTTTCATCTCATCCATCCGTTGTCCCTAAAACGCACTGTACGTTACATGTAACATATGTACACACCTATCATGATATACTTTGTGCTAATATATTATTTTGGGATTGTATATAAAGAGACCATTTACCTTTTATACAAGGTTGTCACAATTCCTTATAACCATTTGATGTGAAATTTGATAGCTTCGATGTGTCACAAATTTCAAAAAAAATTCTTTTGAAGTTTAAGCTTGATCAATGGAATTAATGCAGCCACTCAACTTTACATCTAGTGGTTAAGATTATTGTGACCATTTTGTATAAAAGATAAATAATCTCATTCTACACTTTCCCTATTGTTTATAGTGGAAGTATAGGGTCTTTTCTAAATAAGTCGGTGAATGGATCAAGACCAGGTCCAACAAACCTAACTTTGCAGATGAATTGTGGAGCCAGTTGGGTCTAGGTCGAGGGTACTTAGAACCCATATCAGATCCGTGTTGATGTATGTGAGTGTGGCGAAATGTTTGGTGGGTCAGGGGATGCATCAAATGTTCATCTTTTAAGATTTGTGACAAGAAAGAGAGATCCAGCCAAATTTTAATTTAAAAAAAAAGTGCAAAAATATTTTTAAAAGTACTTTTAAATTTATAAAATTAAAAAAATGACTTTTAACTATTTATTGTTCATGTATTTAGGGAGGATATTACTATCCTATGAAATTCCCTAAAATTTCATCAAAATTAAAAGTAATTTTTGAATTTTTCAAACTCATATTTAAAATTTGAAAGTAACTTAAAATTGCTAATATTCCCTTTTTCAAACAAGTTATTGCTTATGAAAATTTCTTATTTGTAAAATTATTTTATGATAAAAATTTCATGAATAAGAAACTCTAAGTTTAACTCTGCCTTGGCAATCCCAAGCCAAGCATGTCAGTCCCAAGTCCGGATAAAGGAAGAGGATTGTGTTAGGTATGGCAACCAATATAAAACTTTACCACATCTAGTTAATATAAAACTTTGCCACATCTTTTCATAAATCCTAGACTTATTAGGTTGACTAAGGATATGGCCCTTGATAGGTATAATGGTAGAGAAAGATTTGTGTAGCAAACTCCAAATAGTTGGGATAAGGTTTAGATAATGATGATGATGAAAAAATTCCAAGTTCACTATTAGAGTGATGTAACCTTGAATATTCATAGATGTCGATTTTATGTGCCAGTATGCCT